AGACCGAGAGATATGAAAAGAAAAAATAATCCAGTTAACATTTATCTGATAAGAGATCAGTAATTTTTCACAGGCTATAACATTCACAAAGAGCCAGAGATTTTTTTAATTGTTTTATTTTAAGCTTTATGACCATGGGATGCAGTTACTCTGCAAATAAAAGGAATTGATGTAAAGTTTGGACACAATGCTTCCCAATATTTGTGACATGATCAAGCCTACAGAAGAGAGAATAGAAATGAGATTTATTGATGAGGATAATATAAAGGATTTTTGTTAGCTATTAACAAGCAAGATAGGACATCCCACTGATTGGGAAACTTGGATTCTTTGCCTTGTGAATAAAAGCTTTGCAGCTTTGTCTTGCAGACACTTATGGCAGTGATGCAGATCAGATTCAAACTAGCTCACTTAGATTCTTTTGCTTTGCTAAAAAGAAAAAGACATGAAACATGAGGGAATAGCTAAAGATAGTCCTAGAATCACAAGTCATAAACAGCGAGTCATTGATTTACAGGAACAGATCCCACCGGCAAAGTTTGACTGGACATCTAGCGGCTTAACCAATCCCCTAGAAGGTCCGGGTAAGTTATCTTGCCTTTTTTTTTTTTTTATGATTATTGTTATTACTCATCTCATGCCCAGGAGGGTCTTGTGTATTTGTGCTTTTACAATAACCCACAAAATTCACACACTTTGAAAGTGGTTGGTGACTTTTTCTTTGGATGTTTTAAATGATCACAAATATGATAGTTTCAACATGAATTATGGATAAAGTTTGGATGGGATCTTTGACTATCGTGAAGATATTGATTTGCACCATGTCACTGTGGGGAAACTGGAATTATAATGAATAAAATACACCTTAGTTGACTCATTCCCTTCCACATGAGATATACTTCAATGCGTAAATCTTGAAATTGGGGAATAGCATAATTTACTTAAGTATTACATTATTTTATAAGTGTGAAATGTTACAAACATTCCCTCCTCTCCCTCCCTCCTCCCTCTCTCCCTCTCTCTCCCTCTCTCTTCCTCTCTTCTCCCTCTCCCCTCTCCCCCTTCTCTCTCTCTCTCTCTCTCTCTCTCTCTCTCTCTCTCTCTCTCTCTCTCTCTCTCTCTCTCTCTCTCTCTCTCTCTCTCTCTCTCTCTCTCCCTCTCCCTCTCCCTCTCTCTCTCTCTCTCCCTCTCCCTCTCCCTCTCCCTCTCCCTCTCTCCCTCTCTCCTCTCTCCTCTCTCCCTCTCCCTCTCTCCCTCTCTCCCTCTCCCTCTCTCCCTCTCTCCCTCTCCCTCTCCTCTCCCTCTCTCTCTCCCTCTCTCCCTCTCTCCCTCTCCCTCTCCCTCTCCCTCTCCCTCTCCCTCTCCCTCTCCCTCTCCCTCTCTCTCCTCTCTCTCTCCCTCTCTCCCTCTCTCCCTCTCTCTCCCTCTCTCCCTCTCTCCTCTCTCTCTCCTCTCTCCCTCTCCCTCTCCCTCTCTCCCTCTCCCTCTCCCTCTCTCTCTCTCTCTCTCTCTCTCTCTCTCTCTCTCTCTCTCTCTCTCTCTCTCTCTCTCTCTCTCTCTCTCTCTCTCTCTCTCTCTCTCTCTCTCTCACACACACACACACACACACACACACACACACACACACACACACACACACACACACACACACACACACACACACACACACACACACACACACACACACATACAGATATATAAAGCAACACTCATGGAGACATGGGGAGTTCACTATATCCACTGTGCCCTTGGGTTTGGATTTTACAAACTAGAAAACAAAAAGCAAGAAGTTTGTGTAGATGTAGATGCACAGTTCAATTACTTACATATACATGTCTTTCACAAGATTTCTATTTGTTTCTTTTCAACACTTTTCTTAGATGTCATTTTCTTCTTTCTTTCTTTCTTTCTTTGTTCTTTCTTTCTTTTCTTTCTTTTTCTTTCTTTTTCTTTCTTTCCACCTCCTGTTGTGATTTCTTTTGTTAAGGATTTGTTTTTGTTGTTTTTGTTCTTGCACACACTGGCCTCAGTTTTGGATTCACTGACACTCTGACTCAGAAACTTTTGCACTTTTGCCAAGAAGAAAACTCAATCTGACACTGCACAGAAATACATAGAGTCCAGCTTACTTGCATGTCTACATGGACTGGCACATACACTCAAACATGCACACCCAAGCATATATGCTGATGCTCAGTATATTGATATCATGCATTCATATAGAAAGACACACACAGTTCCACATAAGCCACATGAACAAGAATTTACACAATAAACAAACACAAATTCTCGGTGACATTCAGATGTGTATTATTACAGTATACGTTTTTTCTGCACAATTTAGGATGATTAGATTAATTTTGGGGGTTCAACTTTTTGCTGAAGAACACTTGGTTGATCTGCATTTGAATTTCACATTCACTAAATGGTAAATTGTGATACAGGTCTCCCTCAGTTTACTGGAGGGTTATATTTCTTGAAAGTGTCAGGGTGATGCATG